AGGGATGATTAAAAGATCTTCTCAATCTGTAGAATCTCATCAACGTGAAAACATCCTTCCTTGACAAAGCAGCAATGAACGAAAGCATTTTGATTATGGCAAGATGTCAGTAAAATGACAGAGAGCAAGGGCAGCTTTGGAACGTTGCTCGTCTTGGGTCCTGAGTGAGTTACCACTGCGCGGCTATGCTGTGGTTTAAGCAGCACCGTCTCCACGCCACGTCTGTGTGAAGTGAGCAGAAGTGTGTGAGAAGCCACACACTTGCACCGTGCTGGCTCTCACCATTTCTGATGGCCACGGGCAGATTCACCAGGACACCGATGCGCCTAAGCTCCAGCACAACGCGCCTTTGCCAATTCAAAACAGCATTTCCAGGAAACAGTAAGGGCAGTAAGGAATGAAATAATAGTAAAACAAAAGTTTTATTGTTGGCAGTAAAAGACGGCAGCTTAATTCTCTGTATACCCACACATGCAATCACACTATTAAAATGATTAACTACTCTGAATAAGCATTAGGAAAATATATCTTGTTTTCCAACGGTGCACTCAGCCTGCTTCAATTTAAATGGGGCACAAGCTTTTAGCATCTGGTCTGTGACCCTCGGAGCTCCCCCAAAGCTGTCTTGTGGCTAACTCCTTTTCTTCCCCTGGCATTCTGCTGAAGTGCAGTTGCTCGTCCTGCAACCCAAATCCCAGGCAACTTGGATAAAACCACATAGCCAGTTCTCACAAATCCATGGAAACCAGCACAAAGGGCCAGGAACACTGCTAAGGAAGCCCACTGGCAAGCGGGTTAAGGGCAGGGGTCGCGGCCGTGCCGAAGAGCTCACCCAGCCAAGGCTGCGATAGCCCAGTCAAGCAGCGTTTGCCTTCGGTGCAAGGTGCTGGGAATAAGAGGTGGCTGCAAACAGAACAGGCAACAGGCCAGAAAGTATCAAAAAGATAAGGGAATAGGCAAACGCCCCAGCCATTCTATGCACAGTAACTCTAAACTATTCCCCATAAATGCAGCAGAATTCAGTCAAGCATCACTCAGAAAAAGGAGGTGTTCCAGCTGCAGAGGGCAGGTGGCTGGAGCACACCCGGAGCCGCTTGCTGAGCGGCAGCCTCCAGCGCCACCACAACCTCCTCACGCTCCTTCTGCTCCGGGACCTTTCAGAAGCTGTGATGACACCGAGAGCGGCTGCAGGAAAACCAAAACATCTGCGGGCCTTCCCGGCTAGTGGAGCTCCTCATAACTAGGATCTGACCATCCTGCAAGTACGAACTTAGCCGGGCTGCTGAGGCTTTTCTTTACGTAGAGGCTAAGCAGCACCTGGACTTCAAAAGCAATGAGAGTCATGAAACTAACATCTTCGAAAAGAGAAACGCGGGGTGGTTTAAAAATCCACCTTGCCCAGGAACAAGCAGGGACAGGGTCTTTGCAGTTTAATTTGAACTTTCTTTCCTGTTTAGCCCAGAGCGAGACCTCCTGAAAACGGATGAGCTGAATTTAGGCTGGAAACTGGGGACGATTCTCCTAACGTCTGCACTGCCCTGGAAGGAACGACCGAACCCAGAATTTGTGTGAACATTTGGGGCATTTCTCTCTCGGAGAGCTGGAAGTTGCCATTCTGTCAATGCCGAATAGTTCCCAAAACATAGAGCAGGCTGCAGAAAGCACACAAGTGCACCACGAGAGACTGACCTAAACCGTCCCCCGCTTGTACTCAACACGCAAACTCCTTCAGCATTACAGGGAATGCAAAGGAGAAATACAAAGATGGATGAGAAACTAACACTGATATCTCCCTTAAAATTACTGATTCATTCCGTACAATACGGATGAGGATTTCATTGTAACCGTTTCCTGCCTTTTGGTAAAATTAAAAAAAAAAAAAAAAGTATTCAACAGCTCTGCCACTCACCGGACTGAAACAGGGGGCTCGTGCTTCCTACCACCAGCGCGACTGCGTGAACCCTGGTTTCCTCAACTCTAATGAATTTTGCATAAAACACCTGCCTTTCCTTCTACCCACCCCAAACTACTCCTTCCCTCTCCTGGTCTCCATTCCCCAGTCAGTAACAACAGTTCTGGATTTTCTTTTCCTGTTCGGTTCTGCTTTATTCAATTCCATCTCAAGCTCCTGGTTTGTTGTAAACTTCTTGGTAGCTTTGAAATGTCCTCATGTTTCTGTGTTCAGAAGTGACCTGTTCAACATGATCTTAACCCTGTACTGAAAAGCGAGCACTGGGTTGTGCCTGTAACGCAGAGCTGAGTCCCCTGCAAAGAGAAACAACCCACGCACAAGAATCAATGCTTTCAGGTGAAATAACTGGACAAGAATAATTTTCAAGAGACAGTTCAAGAGACAAACCATTCTCCATTTGAATATCCTGACCCCAGCCAGAAAAAGATTGGCCTGCAAAATCGTTTTCAAATGAAAAGTCATTTTCAAAAAGAATTCTTGACAAGATTCAGATCAACTGCGGTCTTCCAGCTCAGTCAGACCCTGAGAACCAAATTCTGTTCTCATTTACATCAGAGCAAAGCTCAAAGCCTAATGAAATATTTTATGTTCACCCTTATGTAAAAGAGAGCAGAATTTGGTCCGAAACATCCTGTTTTCCCTACTGACTTTATTACAGGGTGAGTGTTAGGCAGGAGTTCAGGTTTCTTCTGAAGTTATTTTATGGCAAGGAGATAGAGTGGCAGAGATCTAGTTCAACGAGTCTAATCTGTCCTAAATATGCACACAGTGTCTAATGAAAGAACCACAGAGAAGCTGTGGCAGCCCTGCAACGCATAGTTACAGAAGCCACACAAATATTACTGAGCCTACAGTAATTTAAATTGGAAGTATACTGCTAGAAATCTAACCCTGGGTACTTTACATGTCAGCAACTCAGAGATTTTTAATATACCAGTTGAATGAGTTCTAAACACGAAGACTTGAAACCATTACTGAAAACTTGCCCAGGAGGAAACTGGAAAACAACAGCACAGAGCAAGAAAGAAGCAGTATAACTGGATACAGAGAAGAACAGCCAAACGCAGAACGGAGAAAGGTAAAATCCCCTCCTTGCACACCCGCTTCACCTGCAACATCCAACAGTTCCACTATAGCAAATGACTTGATCAAACACAAACAGGAAGGGAATAAATAAATAATGGCAAACAAACTGAATGCGTTACACAGGAATTTTTGAACGTCAGCAGGAGAAAAGACAGATGATAGAGCACTTGGAAGAAAATGAAGGAGCAAAACCTCGACTAAAGATGTCAGGAAGGTAAGAGAGCAAATGGGACTTTACACGTCCTTCCCTGTGACGTGCAAAGGGCCTGTTCAATGAGCCTGACAGACCGTCCTGACCAGTGCTATTTCGGCTGCAGTCATTTGCCCAACTTATCTGTAACCCCTCACACCGTCCTCCCTAATGAGTCATATTTCTCCTATAATAGAGTAGTAATAAGCCAGAAGAATTTAAGCCTGGAATAATAACATTGTACTTTGCATGTTTACAGTGTTTTTCCTATTTAAAGCACTTCTTTCATATCATCCAATTGTTCTTAATAACAATCTCATCTGCATTGGCTTCCGTGATTCCTTCATTTCACAAAGGTGCAAATGAAGACAAAGATACCGGCAGCTTGCCCAAGGCTACAGGTGAATAAATGAAAGAACCAAACTACAATTTCCAGTTCCAGTTCTGTGCCTGCATTAAAGGACTGCAGACCTTTCCCCAGCTGGAAGCAGAACGTCTTATTTCCATATTCTGACCATCCCTTCCGCTGGTGGAACCCAGAAGCAAGGTTTTCTCCATGGTCACACAATACTTGCAACTCGACTTCCACCTCACAGCCGGGGAAGCCTCGCCAGCAGCCGTGCCATTCCATTACCTCTGTCCTCAGGTAGCTCTACATACACAACACAGCTCACATTTAGGACAGGTCTGGTCTTGCAAAGCTGAGGTTTCTACAACAGGCCCACGCTGGAGATTGCTTCAAACCTTTTGCTCTGGCTCTGTATGATGACGAGCACCTCAGAAATACAGTTACAGTGCAGCTCTACGACATGCAAGTATTTACAGTGGATGTAAATTAGAGATTCGTATCTCCCCACCAGAAATAATTCGCCAAACACAAAAAGTAAAAAAAATAACAACTTGGCTTGTTGATCATCTGCATTAACCCACTTATAGCAACAGCAGCATTAAGGAAAAACATGCTACATGTTCATACACAGGCCAGTTGGGACTCATCAAGTCTAACAATTTTTGAGCTGGTAAGTCTAGATTCATTTTTTCTTTGATAATAAATCCACGCATATATCCAATTTTCAAAACAAACTAGAACAGCAGCTTTCTAGGACTTGATTCTCACACTAGTGCTTCTGAACCTTCATACAATGTTCTCAAATCCCATTAACCACTGTGTGCAAACATGTGATATGCTTGAACGTATGCACCTGTGAATGACACTGGTTTGCTCCACTTGAGCCTATCGGAATACCTGTATTAATTTCAGCAGTCAGTGTTCCATCACAGAGACTTCACTTCGTAATTTCTTCACAAATAAAATTCCTACTGATAGTAAAACGAGGAGTTTTGCATTTCAAGGGCTTGTGTAAATGGCTCTGAAAATGGGAGATCTAATACCCATTCCTGGTTGTTTCATCTAAGAACATACAAAAGCGTTTAGAGACAGAAGAACTGGAGTAAAGCTCTCAAGATCTCCATTGGTTTTCCACTTCAGGGATGCATCTTGACTGACTAAAAAGTAAAAGGAGCAATTCACAGTCTGGATTCATCTTGTTGGGATTATGACTCTTATGCAAAAGTGTACAAAATGATGGCATCAACACCACTGTCTGATTCCTTGCAGCTCAAAGTGACTTATGGAATATCTGCAGTTTATGGAAATCTAGGAAATTTAGCTGAATAAGAACGCTCTAGCCAACGCCATGTAAGAGAACTAGCGACACGCGCATCAAATTCTAATAGAGCAGAGTAACGTACCTCCTTGAAGTTATCAAACGCAGATAAAATTATTTCATGCCCTCCTCTGACGAGGCAAACAGCTGCCAAAAGTTCCAAGACCAGGGCCTTTGTCCTGCAAAGAAAAGAAACCACAACAGTCAATGACCACCATGTGATGAACCACCTTCTTTCTACCTGTTTGCAAAAGGGATGCAGAGACACCGGGAGACGCAGTTTGCATCCCGTGTATTTTTTAATCTCTTGAAACTGGTAAACCTGCAAGAGGCATAATGCTGAGCATCATCTGATCCAGGGCATTTTGACTCTCCCAGGATCATGCACTTTTCCCCCATTTTAATGCTTCTCAAAACATGCAAAAATTTAAATCACAAACTGTACTTGTGGAAATTCAAGCAAACCAAAGGCAGTCGCATAACTCTGGTAAAGGCAGACCACGTCAGCCTCCAACAGCTTGTACTCCCAGAGAGTTCACCTGCACACACCCGGAGAGGAGGCACTTTTACACAAGCCAGGATCACGGCACATCAGCCATTAGTCAGCTGTCTTCGCCACAACGCAGCCCATTTCCTCTGAGCCCAGTTTTTAGTGAATGTGCTTATAATTCAAATCTGTATTTTTCCTGATACAAATCTGAATTATTTTCTATGATAATTTGTATTATTCATAGCCACAAAAAAAAAAAAAAGACGTGGTTCGCCGAAGTAAATATAGGATGCCTTAGCACGTCTTTCCCCTCTTGAATCAGAAATCTGGGCAACTGATTGACAGCAGTGCTAACACAGGCATATTAATGAGAGAAGACAACAGATTACCAAAAGAAAAGCATGCAGTAGACTCAGTGTGACTCCAGTATAAATAATCCCCAGTACTTTCTTATAGGGTTCACATAAGGCAAAAGCACCAACTGGACTTCATGGTCAGATGAGCTCTGAGCAGATATTAAAATCATGCAGACACATATGAAATTAGTCTCATGCCAGATGTTACAGAAAAAGAAATACCTTTTGGCTTTCAAAGTGTCAAGGTTATCTTTGGAAACCAGATAAAATGTTCACTTTCCTAGGAAATTTTAAATGTATCATTTTCAATTCTTACTCATCGATTTTTTTTCCTGCCACAAGAAGAAAATCCAAGCTCTTTCAGACAGGATCAAGGGGTTCTTACTACAGATCTTCAGTAATATCCCCTCCAAGGGCAGGCTATGAACCGTGTGTGCGGGGAGAAGGGAGAGCGATCTCTGTGAGCGGAGGGCCCAGGGGGATGCCCAGGTCTCCGATGCTGCCCCCGCCGGCTGCCCACGCATCTGGGCTGGGGACGGGGAGAAGACAGCGACGGCTGTGTCTGTGCCATCCGTCTGGGCACAGCCAGAGGAGACGGAGTCCCTACATCCATCCTCCACCTGGCCCGCCCACTCCTGCGGCACTTAGCTCCGCAGTGTGCACGGTCTGGGGATGGGATCAGCTCTGCAGCATCTCTCAGAGCTGCTGTTTCCGTTTTTGCACATATCGGACAACCCTAAGCACTCAAACCTCCGGTTTCTTCAAAAATCATGATGGAGCTAAAACAAAAAGAAATTAGGTTTTGAACAGCACTAACATTAAGTTTTGTCTTCAGATTATTTTAGCCATGTTTGAAAGCTTTTTTTTTTTTAATAAACAGAAATCTAAACAACTCACTTCTTTCAAAAATGAAAACTTAGGCTCTCTCTTGATCACCTGATTTCCCGGCACAGGACACCAAAAATGATAAAAACAAACTTCCCCTACCCTTCCCATGTATGCTGTGCCCAGGCCTGCTGACTGAGGGCTAAATAAAAGAAAGGAAGGAAGTACCTACTTCCATCAGGACAAGATTTCAAGCAGTGCACTGTAAGGCAAGCGGACAGCCTAAGCAAAAGCTATATATATACACATATAGTGCTGTTTAGTTTTGTCTCATCCCCTAGTTTTACCTTTTCTTGCAAACATCAGTATGTCAGGTTTGGTTTCGTTAGACATGCAAGAGGTTTGCAGCTCCAGGCTTTGCTGGAAGCGGCTGCCGGGGTCACACGTGTGTGCGGGGAGAGGAGGGGGGGACAGCCTCGCAGCCATCAGTTCCACTGTGCAATTACAGCATTATTGCTGCGGCTGAACAGCAACCCGATACAGAACAAGAATGAGACCCTCTGTCAAAGAAATTCAAACCTAAGGACCCCTCAAGACAAAATCTAGGTAAGAAGCTTTTCCTTTTCTTCAGGAAAATCCCATGCTAAGCTGCTCATTATCAGCAGGGTCTTCTTTGCACTGCAATAGAGCTGGAGCGCTTAAGCAGCAAATTTTCAGCTGAAGAGTCAGTAGCTCCTGAAACCAATGGAACTAGATGGCAATTGCTCATCTATTTGCACCATAATACAGATTTAATCTGATTCAGAATGAAGTGTGATTTTTGCTATAGGTTTGTGCATAAACATACCCCTGAAAAACCCTTTCCCTGTACTCTTTACTTACCTACTTCTTACATTCTCTAAAAGCAAGTGCAGCCTACCTGGGATTCTTGTTGTTCAAACTTAGTGCAATTTCATTAACGGCATGTGGATGCGACATGACCATATTGAATCCATACTGAAAAGAGAAGGGGAAAATATTGTTTCAGTTTTGAGACTAAAATTACTGTCTTTAAAATCCAACAAATTACATATCTCTGAGCAGACCTGGCAGCAGTCTTTCACAATGCTGTAAGCCGAGTTTACCAGGTCAGCCAGCACATTTCCATCTACCACCTTGCCTAACAACTTCTCTGCCGCTAACAGTGTCAAAAGTACTCGGTTTGGCCATGTCAGCCAACAAAAAGGGGCCCAAGAGCTGCTCCTACACCACTGCCAACCCCTCTGCTCATCCTTTCCCCTCCCTCCTCTTTTTCTTTCTGACGCTCAAGTGCATCATTTACTCTCTAAAGAGGAATTTGCAATTCAGCTGCCAAAATCACTTCTTTTGCAGCATGCATGCTGCCACAGAGCGACTGCATCATGCAGCTATTGCACGAATACTGCTGGCTTTGCTCTCCAAAAATGAAAAAAGAACTGCTTTGGAAAATACTGTATTGGTTATTAGCACAAGATCGTTGTTTGCATCTTGCCCATCAGAGGTAAGAAACCCTGTAAATCCCAGGGGACTGGTGCCCCCAAGGGCAGAGTTCACATACGCAGCCGTGTTAGAAATACTTCGTACGACCACACACTTGCAATAAAGGTGTTCACCACAGCCTTTCTTTGAAGCACGTAACTTTTAGCTGTTACTGTTTTAGCAAAAAATCCCAAGTCTCTGAAGCTACCTGGGCATGCCATATGATCACAGCACTCCACTGAAGAGAAAAGAAACTCATGAAAATAAGATTAGCTTTTGTCTAGTTTATTCTTTGACTTGCAGTTATTGCAATTGCCTTGCGATAAACACGTAAGAAGGGTGAAAGCTTGGATTTTCCATCAGTGTATAGCTCTTCTGAAAAATTCTCGTATTTCCTAAGTGTCAGTACTAAATTCTGAGAGAGATTGTAACTTCAGTTGTGTAGCTGCATGTCTAATCAGTTAGTGCAAACTGAGCCCATCCCTGCAAACGGGAACTGGCCCGATATGCACATGCTCTTATCTATGTGTGTCTTCACATCTGGACTAAATCATCTGCATGGGTACACAAGGACTGTGTCATATTGCTTCCCAGCTACACTGCCCAAGAATGAGTAAGAATTTAAACCTTTGCATCAGTTTTACCTTAACAATTCACCACTAACCTTTTCCTCCCCCCTCCCAACAACAAAATAGTTATGTGGTCCAAAAGAACAAAAAGGGAAATACCTGGTAATTCATTATGGCCCGTAAACACATGATGCAGACATGAACATCATCTTTTTTACTCACTAATCTGGAATTTTTTAGTGTTCTTCGGCTTGGCAAGGTGTTATACCTGCAAACAAAAACAGCGCTCATCAATCACAAGACTAGTTTTAGGCCGTAAGAATAAAGGAATGGAAATACTCCTCCGCTGGGTGACAATGCAGACATCTTTCAGTTCTGCAGAGCAGACGGCCATCGGACAATACACATGCAAATAAAGCAGAAAAAAGGCCACAGGCTGTTTACACTGGCAGCCTACGAAGCTCCAGATGCAGGGCTCCACGACTGCCTGCTGGCCGCCGCTGCCCAGCCCAGGGCCAGCACAGACCACGAACTGCCGGTCTCAGCCCTTCCACCCGGCGCAGCCCATGCCGCCAGCCACAGCACAACTCATCCGAAGCCAGGTACCTCCGTCTCTTGTGGCACGCAACGGGGAAAGAATGATCCACCCACAACCAGAGGTATGCCGGATTGTTTTCCATGCACTTTACTCTGCACGAGCGACAGCACAGACTTTTAATGGAACTGAACGTTCGTAGGCATCAGCAAACGTATTAATTCCCGCTGCATTTCATTGAAGAATAGTGCCTCTCTTCTATTCTGCAGCTGAGCTTTCTGAAAGCCCTCCAAATTATTTGAGGAAAATACAGCCCTTAAGAACTTTCCTCAGAACAGAGGCATTAATTATTTCAATTGTAACCCCTAACTGGTAAATCAACCTTGAATTCAATTAAATGAGTACACGGAATAAACACAAAGGGAAATCTCTAAATCTGTCATTTCTATAGCATAGTAAATGAAAACCACATTTCAGCTCTTCCTGAGATTCTGCTTATTTTCTTTAAGAAAAAACATGCTTCACGAGCTAGCACAGGAAATTGGAGACAAGGAGATGGGCTGCCATATGAAATACATATATAACTGCGTACATCTGTGAAATTGAACAAGCAACGAGAAGATTATGATTATGGTCAAGAAACTCTTTTGACAGTGATCCACTAACTGCTGCAACTGGCCGATGGTGTCCATGGTGCTGCCGCGCTGCCCTGGGACCAGCACACTGCAGGCCAAGCCCCATCCAAACTGCGGGGGGTCTGCGGGGCCCCCCCGGCTGTGCCAGGGACACGGAGATTCTCCGCAAAGCTGTGCAGGCTGCCCGAGCAGCCCCAGCCAGCGGCACCGGGGGTGATGCTGACAGCAAAGGCGAAGGGTGGTGTTTGAGGTTGGAAAAACACATTATTTATCCTGCTCCCCCAATTTACAGTGTAAAAACAGCCCAGAGAGAAGGTCCAAGCAGGTTCTCGATTGTTCACAGGGCTGCAGCATCCAGAGATTTGCTCCTGATTTACACCTATGCAGGTGAGAGCAGAGACCAGAAGGGCATCGGCTCGCCGGCTCAGAGGCTAATGAAACCTCTAGGCAGGCACAGCAATCCTTTTGCATTTGCAACTATCACGCTCGGGCCTGAAAATGGAGGAAGAAAGTATAAAAATCTGCTGATAGGAAGACAGAAAGAAAAATAATGTGATGCACGTGCAGTGATGTGCAAATTCTGACATTTGTTAGGCAAAGAGCAACTCCACTGGGGGAAGAAAGAGAAATTCATAGATGAAGCTTGACTGGTGGAGTAAATACAAGTGAAAACAAGGCTTCTTCAGACAACTGCGGCTGGCCTCACACTTGCCAATGCCACCTTTGCAGCCCGGAGAACACACATGGGAAGGCTTTTCTTCTCTTTGATTTGGGAAAACAACTGCAGTGGGGAAAGCTTCTGGTTTACAGAGTCCTTAGCTCTCGCTCCAGTCCCTAACCAGGAGTTAAATGAATCAGTGCTGTCACCCAGCAATGACTCAAAGGACAACTGCGAACACAGGCCGAGGCAGGGTAAGAAGGTGAGCTGGAGAACGGGAGAGCTTCCAGGGGACACACAGACCCAGGCTTTTCCATCTGAGGATTATCCCAACACTCCAAGAAAGTATGAGAGTCACGGAGGGAGTCAACGGGGAACGATCTGTCATTATTTCTTGTAACACGGGAACTATGTGGCATCACATGTAATTATCAGGTGACAGGATCAAAGCAAACCTGGTAATTTTCGAGGCACTCCTCCACACAGTGCTCCAGAGAGTGGGAGCTCTTCAGCACGGCTGCTGCAGAGTCCAGAGCCTGGCACGGGCTACAAAAGCACTTACACCAATTCACAGAGGAAAAAATCCATCAAGAACTATTAAACAGGAGATGCAATCCTTAGATCAGGATGCTTAAATCTACAGACTGCTGGAAGCAGGAGCATGTACCAGGAGAAACATCACTGGGTATCTGCCTTGCTTGTACTAAGCAAGTGCTCTAAGCATCTCCCGCACCAAGCGTCTGCTCCTGGGCAACGTCAGAGAGGGTTTTAGATACGGCTTTGGTGCTGTCACACCTCACTGTTTTCCTCTGACTTCCTCTGCATATTTTGAGTGCATTTGGGGGGTTGCCCTGTTCATTGCCAATGCTACTGTGCAAGTTACTTGTCTAATCCATGCTACTCATTTTGTTCAAAAAAAGAGGTGTAGCTTTTAAAATCAATGAATAACATTAATAATAATAATAATAGTAAAGATTAATAATAAATGCATGAACAAATAATAACAGACTTGTTTTATTCTGACTCACTAGCTCACTCTCCAACACAAAGAACATCCTTGCAAATTTTCTCACTTTAAATGTACAAAGCAAAATGAATGAGCTGGCTGGTACGAGGGTCTGGGCGTACCGTGTGCCGGGCAGCCACCACAGCTCAGCAGCACCCTTGCTGTGTCCGCCTGTGCAGCTGCGGGAGCCTTCCCCGCTCTGCAGCTCCAGCACAGGACGAGAGCAGAATGCACAGCGAGCTCCGGAGCGCAGTGCAAAACCACCCTGCCCACGGAGAGCCGGCGACTCTCGGGCATCAGCAATTACTTCCCTTTGCTTTCATTTTCCAGGAGTGCCGAGATGAAAGAAACCCCAAAATTCAAAGCAGAATTCAGTCAAACTGCCTTTTTTTCCCATATATATGCATGCATAAATCAGCTCAGGGCACTCCAGACGGATTTCAGGTTTGCAGGAAACTTGACCTAGTTTTGCCTGAGCCAGAGCAAGCGGTTAAAGCACGGGAGCTGGGTTTCAGGGAACAGACCCGAGGAGGGGCGCAGGCTGTGCCCTGTGCCTTGGAGGACCAGGACAGGATTAGGCTGCTCCCCACGCTGCGGGGCTGTCCCCAAGCCACCACGAGCACTTTGGACGGGGTGCTGCACTGCACCTCCCACCTGGGCTCCGGGACACTTTGTCCTGCTGCTCCTGGTGGGAACGGGGCTGGCCAGGGAGCTCCAGCCGGGGCTGTCCTGCCGTCCTGCCTGCATCCCCACGGACAGGGCTGACTGCCCACACACAGACCCGGCGCCCGGGGACTCATTCGTCTTCCAAACCTCCCTTCCTGAGACAAAAACCTTTACCTGGGAGCCCTACATTGAGTCTGAACTGGGAAGTGTGGAAGCGCTGCCAGTGTTGGCTGGAGAATGTGTAACCACACCACACCAGCTTATTTCCATACATTCATTTCACTAAATATGAAAAACACTGCAATAAAAAGATTTAAAAGTCATTTCTAGTCCCTACAATGACTTATCTCAGTTTTAAACTACTAAAGGCTGCATACATTACTTTCCTTTAAATTTTAAATAAGCAGAGTAATTAGATCTTTATCATGCCACTGACAGAAGAAAAAAATCTTCCTTGGTGCCTGGTGTTTCAACTCCTTAAATTTCACAATGCCTTTAAACATCTCAGAGAGTTTTGTCAGCTGTAACAAATGGGAGCAAGACTCCTTAAACTAATAAAAGATGACCATAAAGCCAGAACTTGGCATTTCCAGCTGCTTGGGGAACGAGAAGAAACAGAATCGGGGAGCAAAGATACTCTGCAATGCAGCAGAACCCTGGAGCATGCTGGGTCCGATCTCCCTAGGAACTCCGCCTGGGATCCAGCCACCTGGACGGAGTCGTCCCGGGCTGAGAGATGCTCTCCTCTACACCTCTCACTACCCACATGGCTTTCCAGGCACCTAATCAAACCCCAGCTCTGCAAAGCAATGCAGGCACCAAAAGGAAGGTTTGAGGTGAAGACAATATTCGCCTCTTCTGAAGAGGCGGAAGAGACCCACAGAAACCCAACAAGGGCTGCAGATATCCCATACAGCACTACCTGCCCGCAGCCGGGAAAACTGCTGTTTTGAAGCCTGGAGATGTTCACTTGGAGGATTCTCATGACCAGCCAAGTAGGCAAAGTCAGAAGCAGCTGTTGTGTTCTCTTCCCAAAACCCAAGATGACCCTCACCTCTGGGGACTCTGCGCCAGGGCAGGTACACAGCTCCAGCCCCAGGCTGCACACCTTGCTCCGTGCTCTCTCCGCAGCAGTCCTCCTGCCTTCCCCACCGTCCCGCACATCCCTAGCCAGTGGTGTGTTATTCAGTGATCTCATCAGTGATATTCAGAGCCCACACCCTCCGGCTCACAGAGCTTCCACCCGTGTTAGTTTACGATTAGGCTGAGAAACGGGTACAGAATAAGCAATTGCGAGCTGCAGTGCAGAGAAAATATCTCTAGCACAGATGGGATTCTGCCCTAGATTTAGATCGCTTCCCTTCAACAGATGCAAATGTCTTCACACAGACATGAATGCCAAGAATTAATGAGGATTTTTTGTACAGAAACTCTTTTACGACAACTCTGCACACTGCAACTAAGGCTCAAGATGCTTTCTGTGTATTAGTGACAATTGCAACGACCCCTGTTTGTTTCTTTCCTAAAGGCAGGGCAGACTGGCGGTAGCTCTTACACCTCCCTTTACGTGACATGAGCCACGCCAGGGTGGATGATCATCTTCTGCTTTTATTTCATTTCTTGTTACTAAACATTAGGCTGATCTGAGCATCTGGACGAATCGTTGGTTTTGATTTCCTGTCTGCTGCAGGTCAAAGATTATGTCACCAAGAGTATATTTATCCTGGTAATTAAATTCAGATGGTTCCTCTTTTATTTCCTCTGCCCC